CTCTTGCTCCACCTGTAGAGGAGGCTTTATCTTACTTTTCATAATAGTGTAATTTTGTCAACTCTTAATCACACTCAGTTCATAAATTCTTTGTAAAACAATGCTAATTAATTAATAAAACTGATAATAACACAGTATAAAAAAAGCAGATTAAACTGCTGAATGGTAGACAAAAATACTTCTATAATGCAGAAATTTAACACCACATATCAGACAGCCTTCACTGAATAATCCGTAGAGATCTTTTGGAGCATAAAAAATCAATGGTAATGTAAATATCACTTTCAAAATTTATATACAGCCATAAAAAGAAGGAAAAATATAATATATATAGTAATGGTAATCAGGGATGACCTCTATCTGTCAAATAATTTTCATGATTTTCTTTCTTTGTTTTACATTCAACAGTTTCGCAGCAATATATCTTTAAAATGGGTTATAGAATACATACAAGGCCTGAAGCTTTTCCAACAGAATAGCCCCTAACATCCCAGAAAGTTTTCCATAAAATAAGACGAGAACACTAATTCATGACCCCAAAGCCAGTATTTTTGTGTTTGTACCATTTTCTTACAACAGACTAGCCATCAAGGTATTCTACTTCATACACTCAGAATTCCTAGTCACTTATTCATGTAAACAGAGAGGTATCCTATTTTTATAAAAGAGGTAATCAATACACAGTAAATTTCTATTTTCCTTTCCTCAGGGAATATGATGTCCTGCCTTATGAGTTAACACATGGCTATTCAACTTAGACTTCTGGAATGTTTTGAAAGGACAGTATGGGCATGTAAATGATCGTTCATTGGGAGAATGTCTCCTTATGTGAACATTTAAGCAACTTCTCTGAGACGCACTATATGGGCAATGGGGACAGTTATAAGGTTTCTCACCAGTATGGATATTAATGTGTTCCTTGAGAAGTTCTTTCCGAGTAGTGCCATAAGAACAATATGGGCAAGAGAAAGGTCTCTCTCCAGTATGCTTCAATATATGTCTACGCAACTTAAAGGAATCAAAAGTATTGTAGGCACAGTGCGGACATTGGTGCACCCTGCCCGAGGTGACAGGGGGGCTCTGCCATTCCCCTGCTGTTCTTCGTCCATCAGCCCAGTCAGAGTTTGTGTCCCGCTCCACCTGCAGAGGAGGCTTCATCTTACTTGTTATTGCAATGTAATAGTCATCTAATTTTCCTTCTTTTCCCCATGAGGACTTCACCAGTAAATTACTCACTATGAAAACAAGCTTTCAACAGATAAAACTAATTGAAAAAATAACAAGAAACAATAAAAAAATAAAATAAATAAAAATAAATAAATAAATAATAATAATAATGAAGAGCAATCTACCAAGAGAGTAGATTGACGTAAAAAGTAAAACATTAGTGTTTCTGCGAGTGTGTGCATGTGGGTGTGTGTGTGAATGTGTGTGTATAGGTGTGTGTACACAATTGAGTGCAAATGTGCGTAACTGTGTCTATATATGTGTATGTCTTATATCTGCATGACTATTCATGTTTTAAAAGTGTATGTATGTATGTAAGTGAATGTATGTACATCATATAAATCTTATATTTCTCTTAATATATTATCACAGAAAAATAAAATCAATTCTGTTTATTTCTTCCTACTTGTGCCACACAACTACCTTTCCAGTTTTGTTTGTTGAACAATACAAGACAACTAGTGGCTACATCTGTTGTATGGTATATACAATTAGTTGAAAAGTTTGTAGCTCCATTTAAATAATTTTTTGAAATAATCAAGTGCAATCAGGGTTGGGAAACAAAACTAAAAATAGCATAGCATTCGCTTAGGGCAATAATAAATCAGAAATTCAATAAAATGAGTTTTAAGCTACAATAATTCATGTAAAACAAGCTTACTAATATGACTGGTTTCTGATAGTCAGAAATTGACCAAAGTTTTAAATTGCAGCTGTGTTTGTTTCTGTACTGTATTTCAGTATTCAACTGTGTAAAAACAATAATGTTAAAGGATCTCTTCACAGATCTAACAAAAGTTCTACTATATCATTTGGTAATTTGAGAAAGAATGAATATGCCAAAGTAATTACTCATAATTACATCCTATCAAGCAGTAAAAGATCCATTGACAATTTGTTTCACCAGACCTGTCATCTGTGTTTACATGTCACAGAATGCTTTCTCCAAAATCTGGAAAGACAGTTGAGTCTTTCATTTCAGACACACAAACGCGTGCCTACAAATTCACCATACACACACATTCAATATGACAAAAATCATTTTACTTGATAATTATGGATGTTCACTTTATAAGTTCTGTGTAACATACATATATATACTTTTTTTTTTTTTTTTTGTAAAATGAGTTTAAACTTATATGTTGTTTTTCTTTGGTTTCACTTCAATAAAATGGTTGAGATTAATACATTCAATAAGACTTAGGAAACCAAACAGAAAAAAGGAAAAATAAGAAGAAGAAGAAAAAGAAAAAAACAAACAAACTTAATTCTCTAAACTAGTGGTTCCCAAACTATCTTATAATACACCCCCTTTCTGCTTCCAATAATTTATTTATTTATATCTTAACACTGTTTAAGAAAAAAAATTCTGCTTGGATTAAAACATATGAAACAAATATTACATGCACTAGGCATTTTACTAAGTACCTGAAGTTATGAATCAGCTAGTTATCAAAATGAACTTACAGTTCAAGGAACTAAAACAATTTGAAAACATGACATATAATATGGAAATACTCATGAGACTGAAATGAAGGAGAGCGAACTTCATAGAAAACAGGTTGGATGAATGACAGAATTGTACTTTGCAAGTATGTAATGGCATTGTTATTGGAATGATTTCATTATTCTCATTAAACAATGATCTTGTAGCCTTCTCATACCACCCTAGGGGTATGAGGAGGATACAAGGGGAGAATGCTCTATAGTTTTTTGAACCACTGCTCTACACCATACAGAACAATCTACAACTTTTTCGAATCTATCCATGAAATTGTCACACTGTGGTTCAAACTTCTGGTATTTGACAGAAATTACAAGATTACACTCCCATCAGCACATTTCACATTTCCCTCTTCCTCTCCCTTTCAGTGTAAATCTGAATCACTCATTTTATGGGTCAAAAGGTGATTATTCAAGTTTGATTTTTGGGCAGCACGATATGGGCAATGCACACATGCATAAGGCTTCTCTCCTGTATGTCGACGGATATGGACTTTCAAAATGTTCTTACGGGAAGAACTGTATGGACAATATGGACAAGTATAAGGCCTTTCTCCAGTGTGGATGTTGATGTGATCTTTTAAGAGCTCTTTTCTTGCAGCTCGGTATGAACAGTAGGGACACGAAAAAGGCTTCTCTCCTGTGTGCTTCAGAATATGTCTCTTCAGCTTATTAGATTCAGTTGTGTTGTAGGGGCAATGAGGACACTGGTGGCCACTGCTGGAGGAAGGGAGGCCCTGCCAAGCGCCTGTGCTGCCTCTTACTTCGTGCCACTGGCAGTTTGATTCCAGCTCCACCTGCAGAGGAGGTTCATCTTACTCTTGATTTAAAAAGCAAAATGGACTCTTAATTCCCCTTCTGTCTTTTTTCACTCATATGTTATAAGTGATACCAAGACTGAATATTCTGTTTTTTAAATACATTTTCAGAAAAGTGAGGTGGAACATCTTGAGTATTATTAGCCCAAATACATAATTCCCCAATCCTTTTTTGAAAATACTACAGAAAAAAGAGGGAGGAGTAGGAAATGACAAAGGAGGAAGAAAATGTCAAATCACAATATTTTGCCACAAAAAATAACTTGCCATGTACTTTACACCAACTCTCTTGTTTGATAAACATATAATCAAAGGTAGCAGCTTGATGTTTACAATATTCATAAATGTTAAATAAACAAATTCACCCAAAATTTTCACATTTCCATCAAACATTTTTATACATAAAAAGCAACCACTATTCAACTTGGGTCCTGAGTTATGAGAATTCCTCATTAAGGTGAGTCATCATATGGGCCTTTAACGTTGATTTTCTAATTGCCCGATAAGAACAAATTGAACATGCATATGGTCTCTCCCCAGTGTGTGTACGAATATGAGCCCTGAGAACATTCTTCTGCGTAGCACTGTACGAACAGTGTGCACACTTGAAAGGCCTCTCCCCTGTATGTGTCATTGTATGTTCCTTTAACATATCTTTCCTTGCTGCCTTGTATGGGCAAATAGGACATACATATGGCTTTTCTCCTGTGTGCTTTAAGCTGTGTCTCTTCAGAGAATATATACCCGTTGTGCTGAATGTACAGTGATTGCAGTAATACACCCTGGTAGTGATGCCCTGTCCAGCTCCAGTGGGTGACTCATCAGTCCACTGGCTTACCTGCAGAGGAGGCTTCATCTTATTTCTTTGCAATACATGTAACATATTCATGATAGTTTCCTAACTCCAAATCAGTATCTTTTACAGATCTGGTGACTTTAAAGCTTTCATCCATTCATGAAAAAGAAGAACACTTGGCTACATTCTACAATTAACATTTCAATGTAAAGATTGTGAATGTTTTCCAATTTTTGTTCTCTCTCACTCTTACTCTCCAAGTTTAAATGAAAGGTAAAGAATTACTTTTGAAAACAATCCACTATTTCTGAAAAGAAATGCTATGTGAACAAAATTTACAGCATGTGTAATGCATCATAAAAATACAAAGAAGAAGAAGTCAAAAGTAAAGTACATCTTCAACTGACTCAAGATAATCAGCATTCTATATTCAGTAAAATAAGTAAGTGCACTCATATAACAGGCAAACCCATAATCAATCTAAAATGTGTTGTAAATTAAATATACTACAAATATTCCATACTGAAAGTAGGAATAACAATTTTACCATGATTGCAGCCAGTACTTAGGTGTCACATGTAAATGATATGTATAAATACTAAAAGATTTTCTTTAATAACACATTCATGGTCTACATTACATGTAACTGTATAAATTGCAAAAATGTATCTAAGGTTACCAATCATTCCTTTACATATGAGGCATTACAATTTTCTTACCACATGCTATTTTACTGGATAGCTTTGAAAGTTACTATGAGATGTAATATCTCTTTTTCTATGCGGATCATTTAATTTTCAAACATGCTATCCTGCTGGGCTTCAAATGCAACTCTGTTCTTATGTAATTGTGCCATCCATCTTGTGTTTTTGCAAATGGGTATTCAAACATGACTTTTGGGTGGCACGGTAAGAACAATAAAAACAGGCATAGGGTTTTTCTCCAGTGTGCCTGCGTATGTGAATCTTCAGAATGTTCTTGTGCGATGATCGGTATTCACAAAAGGGACAAGAATATGGCCTTTCCCCAGTATGCGTATTAATGTGCTCCCTCAAGAGAGCTTTTCTAGTAGTACTATAAGAACAGTACTGGCAAATAAATGGCTTCTCTCCAGTGTGAGTAAGAATATGCCTCTTGAGTGTTTGGCTAGCAGGAGTGGTGTATGTACAGTGAGGGCACTCAAAGATCTTCCTTTTGGGGGAGGTGAAGTCCCAATCCCCATATGCCCCTCTGCCATCAGTCCATTGATAGGTAGTCTCCCGCTCCACCTGTAGAGGAGGCTTTGTCTTATTCTTTATACTGGCGATCCCATGTCTTCTTTATTATCTTCTGTGGATGACTTATCTGGGTTCCCATAATCAACATCTATACTCAGATATCTTTTGCTTGAGGCATAGACATCCTTGAGATAAATGACTGACTGAATGCAACATGTCTGAATAATATAACTCTATTTCAAATAATTGTCAAGTACATCATTAGCTCTCTTCTTCATGATTAATTTTTAGTAATTATCTGACAACAATGGTGAGTATGTTCAAATTCCTGACAATCAATACTATTATGAAATAAATAAAAAGAACTACTTGAAACAAATGAGAAAATGCACAATCCTTGGCAACTTCCAGGATATATACAACTGTACAACTTCTCTAAAACCAGGGTTATCAAATTTATTTGAAGATAATCTTCTTCCTCAAAATAGAGAATAAGAGACCTACAACTTCAGGCATTTTGCATTTATATACATATCAGATTAATGAAATTCTGACCTTCATTCTCTGTTGCATGACAGATAATGGATAGGACACTTGAGTTACAAACAGTAATGTAACTTGTCAGAATACTTAAATAATAACTTCCTTTTTGACAAACAGTAATGTTTATTTTTTCGGGTATCTCGTATGTGGGAGACCAGTCGTTACTGGGTTAACCCCTATGATCCAGATGATGTGACCATCACATCATGAAAATATTGGACTTGAAGGGGCGGGTAAGATGAACATGCCATCATGGGAAAATTTTGCTGTGGGTTGGGATGACACGAACTCGTCGTCATGAGCATTTCAGCAGGAGGCTGGGGTGACGGGAATGATTCGCAAATAAGGCAAAACCTTTAGAGAGGTTATCAGATTCGATGGGCATCTAAAGGAGCTTTTGCATTATTTTCCAATCATGAACAAGTGTGGAAGTACTGTCTGATCAGCCCATGACTGGAAGAGCACCCAGCTTCTGGGAGGATGAATAATTCTGTGCTTAGGGATTAGTTGTTGGCAACGTGACCAGTGGCACAGATTTGTATTGCAGAAAACTGATGAATATCATGAGAAAAAAAAGATCTATACAAATAGCAAAAATGTTACTTTTATTATTCATTATTGGACCAAGGATAAAGAATATCAAATGACAAATATAGAAGGATGAACATACAGGATGTGAACCACAATTCAATTTAGCAATGCGAATCAAACAAAGAAAAGATTTTCCCATTTGTATATGACTGCTTAAACCCATTCGTCCCGAACAGTATAATGGACACAGGGAAAAAATAACAGTGTGCTATGCGGCTGTCTCGGAGACGCTCCGCAGAAAAGCAAAGAAAAAAGGTCGGCGGCGGCGGCACCGCGTGCGGACAGATCCGGGGAAGCTCCGCCCGCCGATTTTGTAGCTGCCCGGATTTTTTAAATTTTGGCTACAAAATGTACCCCGGCGCGGGTGGGTTAAGAAGAAACTGAAGAAAATCTTAAACCAGAGTTTCCCATTTTCTAATCATGCCAGTCCAGTAGATACTTGAGATTGACAGATGCAATCGGATAGCATATATAACTTTCTGAGAATGGTATAAGGACTAATGGCTCAACATACTGCCGACACATAAAACAAATTCTATGATGAACATATAGAATGGACATCCTTCCTGTAATGCGAACTGCCATTTCATATCATTTATTGTAAGAGTGGAGTAAATCACAGTTCAGACTAATCCCTGTGACTACAATAGGCTAATGCCCAGGTAATTTCTCTTAAACCATGCAAGAAAATATATAACCTCATATACATGACTGGGGTGGAAAATTACTTTCTTCCATGAATCAAATAATATAAAACATCTCTCACACTCGAGTCGATTGCTTTCATATCAACACCCTGGCAATAATTGCCTCAGGATTATCATTGTTATTATACCTAAAAATAAAATGCATTAGAAATTCACGAAGCTCTTTATATAAATAACATTTCCCAGACATTTTGGTCAGTTACACACTATTCGAAACCAGTGTTCTTGATGCAATAAAAATGTTTCCTACATCAGGTCACTCTCAAATATAGTGCCAATCCCCTTTCAATGCTATAAATTTGAAGCAACTATTTTCTCTTGTGTATTTACCATTCCATCCATAGCAATGAAAAAATTTAATAATTACCCATCAATAACAAAAATACTAACCATAATAATAATAATGATGAAAATTAGCAACATCAAATAATCATAATATACTGAATAATAATCTTCAAAATCTAACTCGTTTCATCACACTTCTTGTGACTCATCAATTCCTTTCTAAAACAGGTGTGACAAGGGGGAAGAACAGAACAGAAACCATGCTCACTGTTTTATCTATTCAACACATTCTAATGCCTTGAAAATGTGATGATAAAACTCAAAAAGTCTCCTTTATTTTTGGTCTGCAAATATTTGTGCCCATTAACCTACTAGCTTCTTATATCATATATAAACCCATGTGAAAATCCTTCAGATTCAACAAATGCAATGTAATATTTTAAATGACTGGTATATGCTGTAAAAATTTAGTAAAATTATCAACTACCTTAATTCAAAATTGACTAATCTGATTTTCATATATCATCTGGTATCTGGTATCTTCTCCTGCATTAAATTATTCATTCTTTATCTATTGATCTATATTGATCTATATGTTTTTCATTAATATGAAAACAAGTGATAAAAATTATGGTTGTCAAAGGACACTAAAAGAAAGAGACAAGAAAAGTATTAAGATAGTATACCATCTAAGTAAATAGAAGTAAAAATTATAGACAAACAAAAATCATCAGTGACAATGAAAAATACTGCAAAAATAATAATAATAATAATAATAACAATAATAATAATAACAACACCAGTAAGCCATAACAATAACAACAGCTACCAATATCTTATCAATGAACAACTAATATCAAAAGAATTAATTCATTCTTTTTGAATTTATCAATTTTCTGTGAAAACATACATAGAACTCTAAAAATCCTCCCAGTATAGCCACATTTCACGAGAAAATCCTCTTAACTCACAACTAAGACTGATGATGTGAAAAGATGTGTCTTTGCAAGCTAAATTTCTGAGTCGCTCTGAAGGAGCAGTGATCACACGCATAGGGCCTCTCTCCACTGTGTGTATGGAAATGTCTTCTCAAGTTCTCTGGTTGGGTGGTTCGGAATGGACACTGAGAACATGCGAATGGTTTTTCTTTAGTATGCGTACGGATATGCTTCTTGAGACTGGTGGTGTATGGGGTGACGTAAGGACAGTAGGGACACTGGTGCGTTGTCCTAGTTGTAGGCACAGTCTTGGCTCCTAGGACATCTCTTCTACTCATTCCCACCTGTTGGTGATGCTATCCTTAAGTACTTGATTGACAGGGCATCCATTAGAGTGTATGTAAGCGTATGATCTTAGGTCTACCAAAAAAGAAGAAAAAAATTTAGCTAGGAAATATACCATGGTATCTCTACCCTTGCTGACAAAGAAAGAATAAAAACTGGATAAGAAATGAAAAATCAGTAATTGGTCTCTGGTAACATGTATGTTGCAACTCTTCAGTTCTGTTGATATTCAATAACTGTTTAAATACTGTAACATCATAATCATACACATTAGAACAATGCTATATTCCACCAACTGTTTTTACGTTTCCTGTACCTAGATGAATTGTTTCTACTTTTAGCATTTGTGCATAATTATAGATTTCCATATAAAATCTATTCTTAGAGCTATTCAAATTGTAAGTTACCATTACTCTAAATTACCAAACTAGTAGAATACCAACTTCCTTCATGTGATCAATACAGCATTAACCACTGTTCCATTGCATTGCCATCATGTCAAAGAAAAATTTGGCTTGAGGGCAGCATGACACGAATTGCCATCATGGAGAAAATTGGCTGTGGGCCAGGATGATGGGAACTTGCTATCATGAGAATTTTAGCTGAAGGAGTGATGAGAATACTACCTAAAAGTGAACAAATCTCTTGGAGGGCATTTAAGAAATAGCTCTTGCATTATTTCCATCAATAAAGATAAGACATGACGGGATGAGCACTGGCTACAGATGCTATTTCCAAGCTCAGGATCTTATTCCTAACTGCCATTACTGGCAGCACAGGTTGTATCGGTAAACTGAATATTACAAAAATAAACAAAATTACACAAATAGCAAAATGTTACTTATTGTTTTTATTCCTGCACTAAGTTATGGGCTACCTAGAGAGATGATTTTGCAAGGAAAATTGTCTATCAGCATCTGGATACTGCATATCAAATGAAAAATACAGGCATTGGAAAATGGCAAAAAATCTAAAAACGCTTATACAGAAAAAGAGAAAACACTGCAAAGAGTATGCATGGAGTTGTCCG